GCACAGCCACACAGACCCACAGCGAATGAAAGAGGCAGGAACGCTGCGGAGGCGGGCGGCGGGGGAGGAGGGGGTGACCTGAAAGTTATAGACCACCTATATATGTAAATGAAATACCTGTGTATTTCAGTCTCTGTCCTTAGCAATCAGTCCTCCCTCACCCTCCAAAGACCTCTGCTAAGAACAGATTCTGGATTGCGGTTCCCACCCCATCTCCTTTGATCTTTGGTCCCAGTCTAGCGGGTTTTTCCGCTCTTCCAGTTTCCTAGCAGTTCCCTAAGCCAGGGACAGGGAAGAGTGAAAACATCTCTGGTGGCCAGCAGGGGGCAGTATTCCACAACAGATATCAAGGCTTACAGAAATTTGCTTAATGTAGGGAATAAAGGATACCACAGAGAGGCCCCTTAGACCAACAGGACTCTTGGACCCTCCCTCACACGGTCTCCTTTCCTATTTCTTCATCCTCTTCTCAGCTGCAGTTTCTCCATCCTCAGTATAGTTGTTTTCATAGCTCACCTATTCCCAAGACTAGACCCAGAGGTCTCCCTTTCTCACGACCCTATAGCCTCTTGTCTCCCACTCTGGCTTGGTTTCCAAGGTGACCACGACCCCTAGATTTCCCTTGAACTCCTGATCATGCTCAGGAGCCCGCATATGGAGTTTTATCCCTGGGCTACTCCTCTAAAGATGAGCGCATCCTGCTGGTCTGGTGGAAGGGGGAATGGATGTCAGACACTTTCACTGCTTGGCTGGGTGCTTTGTACAATGCTCGAACTGTACAACAGTACAGGTTCACTGTTGCTTATGGCCCCCAAGGTATCACTTGACCTTGATGAGTATTTATGGTGTTGAGTACCATTCTTGACGATCTCATTTAACCCTCCTAACACCCTGGGCAAGTCTTATTGTCCCGTTGTACAGATGAGGAAGCTGGTGCCCAGGCAGGGCACATGGTTTGTTCGCTGCGGCATGAATGTGGAGCTGGGATGCAGGTCCTCTCTCTCCCTCTGGCTTCCTTCTCCCCCTCTCCCTTAGCCTCTCAGCCTCTGCTTTCCTCTGTTCACTTGCACCAGCACCCTAAGACTTCGATATTCTCGCGGGCTTCTTTCTTCTGCCCACACTCTTCGTGCAGTCAGACTCAGGAGCACAGGGAGGCACACAAGGAAGACCAGAGAGGTACAAGGAGGGATGCCTGGTGACGCTTTCTGGAGAGAGGAAGAGGAGGAGAAAAAGAAGAGAGCACTAGCTGGAGATGGAGAGGGGGAGACGGGATGGAGAGAGGGGAGCAGGCGCTGTGCGCACCGTGCCCGGGCTGGGAAAGGGCACAGACAGGGCCCCCATTGTGTGGGCACAAAGGGGCCATATGCCTGGCAGCCTGTGACAATGACTCTGTGTGTGTGTGTGTGTATGTGTGTGTGTAGGAAGGGGGAGTGGTTTAGAGACCCCCCCCCCACTCTCAAACCCCCAAGGCTTCGCCTTCTGCTCTGTCCCTGGGAGAGAGACAGAGGGCAGAGGCAACAAGCGCAATAGGCCTGCAGGTCAGGGCCGGGGAACCCAGCATTCGGAGGGCATGGACAGGGCTGGGCCCTTGGGAAGGGGCTGTAGGAGGAAGAAAGGACAGGGCCCAGGAGTCTTGCTCACCTGCGCCCCCGTCCGCCCTCCCCGGGCCCCTGGCCCAGGAGCTGGGTTTGGGGATGTGAAGGGAGGCCCGAAGAACAGTCTCTTCCTCCTGCCTGGCCCCTCTCCCCTCGCCGCCTGGCCCCTTCCCTCCCTCCCCTCTCACTCTCCACCTCCTTCCCAGTCCCGGTCCTACAGTGGAGCGGCAGCCGAGGCCAATTGATTATCTGAAGAAATTCGGAGCTAGCAGTAGAACAGCTGCAGCTGCCCCACTCCCCACCTCCAGGTCCTGAGGGACCCAGGAGGGGAGGGGCCCTAACCCCTCTGCTCTGCAGTCCGGGAGGAGGCCGGAGCCTGGAGCACCGAGGCACAAAGCGGCCTGTAATCCTAGGGCCTCGTCTGGCTGAGTCACATTACCTCCCTGGACGGGGCTGCACCTGCCTGTAAACAAAGGTGTTGGAGTCCATGAGTCCTGTGCTCCCTTCCCACTCTGCCCTTTGCAGGCCTCAGATTCCGCAGAGCTCGGTTCAGCCCTCCCTCACACCAGGCTCTGGGCAAAGCACTTTGTATTTCACTCACAGAGGGAAGAGGAGGTACCAAATCTTTCCCGTACCAAAGTTCCTCCGCAAGCCTAACTCACATCCCTCTTGGTGCTGACATCACTCTTTGATTGTAAAAGATGAAAAAGCCCTAACCAGGCATGGTAGCACAGTCCTATAACCCCAGCTACTTGGGAGGCTGAGGCAGGGAGATCACAAGTTTGAGGCCAACCTGGGCAACTTCCCCAGTCCCTGTCTCCAAATAAAATTGATAGCATTCAGGAAGCTGAGGCTAGAGTTCAAGACTGCCCATAGTGATTCCCTGCAGCCCCTCAGAAAAACTAGTTTCTACCAAAATGAAATTCAGGAAGGGCTGGGATATAGTGCAGTGGTTGAGTGCTTGGTTAGTACTTGTGAGACCCTGGGTTTGATCCTCAGCACCTAAATAAATAAGTAAATAAATGATGAAAGCCCTTCAGGGACTGAAGAACATCTCCGCATTTCCTTCCCACTCTGCCTTCCCTCTTCCCCTACGACCTTGGGTTCTTCTTAGAAGCTGGCGTTTCCATAGCTGGACAGCTCCAGGGTTGTGAGGTTTTGAGGGAATTAAAATCTGCTTTCTGAGAACCTCCACCCATTGCCCCTGGTTCTGCCTTCTGGTACCATTGAGGGAGTTTGTTTTTGTTTCTTCCTTCATATCTGAAGATGGGCACCGTGTTACGCCTAAATCTATTCTTACCAGCACACATGTCCTCTGTTCTTTCAACTGCGCCATCTGTGAAGAGGTGGTCTCCTGACCTCTTGTCTTCTCGACCACACAAATTCTGCACCCTCATTCGTTTATCAATGTTCCTGTTAAAATATGGGGTCCACCTATTGGGCTGGGTCACTTTGGAGGCTGCATACAACACCAAGGGCCTGGGTTGGCGCCCTCCCTTCCTCTGGAATTAATTTTCCCATCTGGAAACTGATTTTAGGGTTTTTTCCAGGATCCCTTTCATGTCTGCTCAGCACTCTTATGATTCCTGTCCCCATTTCTCTCTTAGTCCCAGGTCCACTGTCACATTCTCCCCAGTACCTTAAGGCCAGGGACACAAATTAGACCAAGAACTGAGACTTCTAGGAATTCCCAGCTGGCCTAGGGAAAAGAGAGAAGGAAGCAGTGTCTCCCTCGCATACCATGGCTTTCTCCACAGCATGGGCCTACACGAACACGTTCAGCTGGAGTTCTACTGGAACACTCTGCTCCTTCACAGACCCATGGTGGGTAGGAGCTGTGGCACAACATCAGGGAAGTCAGAAAGTGTCATTCAACAAATGCCAAGATGGGGGTATGTGGGACACCAGGAGAGGAGATCCGGGGCCTGTGTGTTACACCTTCCCCTCACTTCTTTACCCCTGAGCCTCCCTTCTGTTTGTCTTTGTTTATCCACCACAATGAACTTTTATGACCTGTCTTCCCCCAACAAAAGCCTTCAAAGCCTAGGACCCTCAGTGGCCACCATACCATAACCGATAGGCCAGGTGCCCACCCTAATCAACTGAGCCACAGCCATATCTGGTGCTAGAACGAGGTCACTTTAATTTTTCTTTCTGTATGCAATTGGACATGTAACTGGAAGGAGTCGCACACAGGACACAGGGCCTGGGGGCCTGCTCTTGGAAGTATTAGGACAAAGCAAGGGTCTTGGGGAGGGCTGGAGAGAGAAGAGAGATAGAGGGACTGTGTGGGGTCGCTGGGGAATGGAGGGAGTTGAGAGAGGAAATCCAAGAGCCCTAGAGCTGGGGCTGGGGGTGGCTATTCCAGAGGCCTAGGAGGTCAAGACAGGAGGGGACACAGCCATGGTGAGCAAAGGAAATCCGGACACACGCTAGGGTCGGGAAAGGAGCCAGGAAAGGAAAGAAGGAGCCAGGAGGGAGCAAGAGAGGCCCCACTGGAGCTGCTGGGAGCCCCCTCACCCTACCCCCAAAGTGCACAACTCAGCAATAAATAGTAATATTTATAAATAAATAAGTAAATAAATTAATAGATGAATAAATAAATAAATAAATAAATACGTAAATAAATATCCTTGTGGAGCTGGGAGTTTGCTGTGAGGGCGGAGGGAGTCCAGAAAGGCTGCAGGTTCGCCTCCTCTAAGCAGGCTGGAAGGCCCTCCCTTCTCCGGCTGCCCACTAAGGTGAGCAGGGGACTCAGCGCCCGGGGTAGGGTTGTCGCTTCCCTTGGGGTAGCAGCTTAAGGAAGGAGAAACAAACGTAACGAACTGGCCAGGAGAACCCCGGAGCGTTCCGAGGGCAGTCACAGGGCAGCTTCCTGGCACCAGAGCGGGACCGGCGTGGGGCTCGCACACTTTCAGGGTGGAGCTGGGGTGGAGGAGCCAGGTGTGAGACTGCAACCACCCGAGGGCCTGGGCGTTCTGCAGACACCCTGGCTGAGCTGTCTGGAGACGCCATCCCCTAACCCAGAAGGAAGCTCTCCTTGCTCTAACGTCTCACAGGGAGGAAAAACGTGGGTGTAGTCGGGCTGGGAGGGTCAGGGAGGTGGCTGAAAAGCTCAGAGAGGGCAAGGCACTCGCTACCAAGTCCACCTGAGGTCTGCACTGGCGGAGCCGCAGGAGCACGATGGCCATGAGAACAACAGAAAGTGTTTGCTACAGTTCCTAGCTGCTGAGATTCCCCTGGCGGGTGTCCCCTCACCCCCTCCCCAGGTCCCACCCCTCCCCGGAGCCTGGACAGCCAGAGATCTGGGAGGAAGCAGCCCACTCCGCACGCTGACCCCAGCCTTCCCTCTTCCCGTTCTGATGCTCCGTCCCGGCACGGGAGGGAGAAGGGACGGCACGGGACAGAGTGCAGGGCTCGGGCCGCTGAAAGCGTGGACACCGGGTGGAAGGGGCGGCGGCGGCCCCGAGAGAGCGAGGCTTAGAAAGCGCAGCAAGGGCGGCGCGCGGCGCCTGCCGGGCTCAGACGTCCAGCACGTGGTTCAGGTAGGAGATGTAGCAGATGGCGAGGCGCAGGATCTCGATCTTAGACAGCTTCTTGTCCGGGGGCAGCGTGGGCAGCAGCTTGCGCAGCTCGGCGAAGGCCAGGTTGAAGGCCTCCACGCGGATGCGCTCGCGCGTGGCGTGCGCCGTGCGGTACTTGGCGGTGGCCCTGCGCCGCCGCCGCCGCTCCTCGCGGCTCAGATGCTGCAGGTCTTTCCGGCCCGGCTCCCCTGGCTCTGAGCCCCGGGCCGGGCCGTCTCCGGGAGCCCCGGGCACCGCACCGTCGGGCACCGCCCCGCCCCCGCAGTCGCTGAAGCCCGACTCGGTCTCGGAGTGGCTGGGAGGCAGGTCCAGCTCCATGGTGTCGGAGTTGAGCATCATGTTGGAAGCGCCCTGCCCCGCGAGACCAGGGTGCCCTCCCCACCCCTCCCTCTCGGAGCGGGACTGCTGGCAGTGGGAGGGGCAGGAGGGGCCTGGGGTGCCGGTGGGGTGTGCCACTGAGCTCTGGAAGTCAGGGCCACTTCAGGCTTCCATAGTCAGGGGTCCAGTCTGGAGGCTGCAAAAAAGAAGGGTGGGCGTTGGCAGGGGCAAAGGGAACAAGGGAAGGACAGCTCAGAGAGGGGTGGTGAGGGTGCGGCCGGCTGGGAGGGCCGAGGAACTCTGGGTGGGGGTCAGAAACCGCGTGTGCAGAGAGGGACAGGGAGGAAGAGACAGCGGGTGGAAGCGTGTGGAGAGTAAGGAGGAAAGAGAATCCAGAAAATGACAGGAAGAGGGGTGTGGCGGCTCACGCCTATAATCAAAGCCTCTGGGAGGCTGAGGCAGGAGGATCACAAGTTCGAGCTCAACCTGAGCAATTTAGCGAGTCCTTGTCTCAAAATAAAAAGTGGGAGGCAGGAGGTGCTCGCTTGGAAGGCCTTGGACTCAATCCCTAGTATAAAAATAAATAAATAAATCAAGTAACAGGAAGGGAGAGAAATGAGGGGAAGGATACACCAGGCAGCCTAAGACTGAACAAGAGGGTTGAAGCCCTAAAACTATAAAACTCCTAGAAGAAAACATAGGGGGAAATCTTCATGACACTGAACTTGTTAATGATTTCTTGGACGTGATACCCAAAGACAGACAACAACAGCAATAAAACGAAAACCACAAATGGGACTCTCTCAAATTTAACTACAGTACATTAAAGAACAGGGGAACAGCATGCAAACACAGCCTACGGAATGAGAGGAAATATTTGCAAATCATATATTTGCTGAGGGGGTTAGTATCCAGGACATACGAATAAGTCTTACAACTCTAAACATATCAAATAGCTCATTTAAAATGAACAGCAGGCTTGAAGAAACATTAAGATGATATACCAATGGCCAATCAGCATATGAAAAGATCCTCAATGTCACTGATCACTAGAAATGAAAAATCAAAACCACAATGAGCCATCACCTCAGCCCCATTAAGTATAGCTGCAATAAGACAACCAATAAACCTAAAACAAAATCCATGTTGCCAAGGATGCAAAGAAATGGAAAAAATTCTACCCTGTTGGTAGGATTGTAAAATGGTGCAACTGCCATAGAAAACAGTGCAGATATTCCCCACAAAATTAAAAAATGGAACTGTGACCCAGCACACCCATCTCTGGGTATATACCAAAATAAATTGGGCTTCAAAGAGTTTTGCCCACCCATGTTCACTGCAACACTATTCACAATAGCAAAGAGGTGGAAACAACTCAAGTGTTCATCAGGGGATGAACGGATAAGCACAATGTGGGCTCTCCACAAAATAGACATCAGTCAGCTTTGAAAAGGAAGGACTTCCTGTCATATGTCACAGCACAGATGAACTCTGAGGACATTCTACTAAATGAATTAAGCCAGTGACTCTGCTGGCATACGGTGTCTAAAGTAATCTAATTCATAGAAACAGAAATTGGAATGGTGGTTGCCAGGGCTGGAGGAAGGTGGAGTGGGGAGATTGCTCTTTAATGAGTATAGAGTTTCACATTTACAAGATGAAAGAGTTCTGGAGATCTGTTTCACACTAACATGAACATACCTTACACAAGTGAGCTGTACATTTACAAATGATTGAGATGGCGTATTTTATGTATTTTTTTTTTTTACCATGGCAATACATACATGATGGGGTGTTGAGCAGGACTGGAGTCCCAGCTCCGCTATGACACTTTCCCAGTTGTCAGGGGAGAATTGCAGGCTTTGAACCTGTGATCCTCTCCCTGTCGGGGCCTCTCTGCACCCTCGCTTCTCGGGGTGGGGTGGGTAAACACACAGATTGGCCATTGTAGAGTGGACTGGGACATATGGAGCTCAGCACAGCTGCTCTATCTCAGTCCCTCCCAGTCCACAAACTTCCCCAACAGCCTCTCGAGACACCAGGTCCTCGCACCCTGACCATAGGAGGAAAGATATCTTTTCTCACCACAGCCCACCCTCCCAGACCACCACTTCCTCCAACTCTATCCTTAGGACCTCCACCCTTTGCCATTCTCCTGGCCTTTTGGAGACTCCAAAGAGACTGGAGAAAGAGAACATAATCAGCCCTCCACCCCACCCTCTTCCATAGCCCAAGGTGGTTCAGATGCGACCAGCAAGGGAGGGCACAGACAACTTCTTCGCGCTATCTTTGTGGGGCATGGCTAGAGTCTGTTTGTTCCAGGACCAGAGCAGATCAAGCAAGGCAGCAGAGACATGGCCTGGGAGAGGCTGGGGAAAGGGTTTTGCCTGGGAGGAGTGGGGACAGGGACAGTGGTCCAATCACTATGACCTCAGCCTCACTTAATGGTCAGACACAGGGGCACAGAAGCTCCTTCACAGTCACCGTCTCCCCTTCCTCCCCCGCTGTAGTTCTCCAGTCTGACGAACACTCTCCCAGGGGCCAGCACCCACCAAGCCCCGCCCCACTCCACCACACAGAAGACCGGTCCAAGTCAAGTGAAGACAAATAGTTACTAAGCTCTAGCAAGAGGCAAAGTTATTAATATCTGATGGTGGGGAAGACAGGTACACACAAAACCAGGACACAAAACAAATGGTGGCTAAAGCTGAGGTTAAGAAACATATTCCCTATTCTGGATCCAAAGGAACGAGGAGGGTTGGCAGCAGTGCGTGGGCATTTCCCAGTATGCTCCACACCCCCATTCCCAGGTTGGAAGCAGGAGTTCAGCAGTGGGTTTCCTAGCACCTCTGCCAGAGCCTGCTTCCTCTCTCTGCCCATTTTCCTGCTTCCCTTCTCTGTACTCCCCCACATCTAGCCCCCTCCCAGCTCTACCTGGCCCCACTGACCTCTCCAGCTCCAATCCTGGTGGCAGCTTCTATTTTCCCATCATGTCCTCAACCCCCAAATCCACTTCTGGTCTCAAAGTTCCAGGCTCCAAGGATCAGTGGAGCAGCAATTCCAAATATCCAGGATAGGATTTCCCACCATACTTCTGCCAACTGCAAGCCGATCCATGGAGGGAAGAGAGATAGGCACAAGCAATACTCAAAGAGAAGTGGGAAAGAGGGAGAGGCAGAGATGGAGAGAGCACAGAGGGAGAAGTAGAGCGATGCTTTGAGAGGGGCTGTAGTGCAGGAAAGGGAGGGACACGAGGACCTGTCCCCAGCCCATGGGTTCCCCCTTTACCTAAGAGGATCCTGCTTAGGGATCCACGCTGGTAAAGCAGGACAGGGGGCAGCGTAGAGAGCCCGGTCTCCTCTGGCTGCTCAGGGCTCATCTGTCTGCAAAGTTAGTGATCGGCTTCCTAGAGCTCTCGGGGACAGCTCCGCACGGTTGTCCAGGTTCCAGGGCAGATGAGAGGGGTACACATGGTGAAGATGCAGGGCCCAGGTGGAGGGAGTGGGCTTGCCCAGGTACTAGGCCACCCACACTCACAGACATACACACCTGAGCTGGCCCAGCCCTATGAATATATATGGCGATACACATACACACCCCCAGCTCTCCATTGGCTGGCCCACGCACCCCCCTCATCAATATTAAACAGCCAGACCAGGCAGCCATTGGCAGAGGGATCTGGGAACCCCCCGGGAGCTGGGGGCGGGGGCTGGCCCTGGGGGGGCGGGGAGTGGGGGAGCAGGGACATCTGTTCTCCATGCATATTTCATAAGCAAGAAATGGAGAGCTGGGGAAGGGGTGGGGCTGGGGCGAGAGCCAGGGCAGGACCATACGTGAACCCCCTCAGCCTCCCACACCAGAGGCAGCAGGGCAGAGGCTCCTGGCAAGATCAGTTTAAGCGCCAGAGTCCCATTCAGAGCGCCTGTGTGACTTGGACACAGATACTTCCTCAGCTCCCTTTTTCCCTGGGATGAAAGCTTCCCAAGGTACTAACAGGGAAACTGAGAAAAGAGCAAGTGGACACCATTAAAAGGCAAAATAAGGCCCAGGAGCCTTCACCCTGGGTTCCCATCCATCCTGCATACAACTGGTGCCCACTGCTCGCCAGGCTGCCTCCGGCTGCTGTTCCGGCTTCCACCCTCGTCCCCTTGACACTCAGTCACCCCACACCCTCTTCTCCAGCCCCATCCTCTCACTTGCCCATCACAGGCCAGGAGCAGGGTCAGATTCTGGACACTGACCCCCTGCATGGGGTTTTTCCAGGCCAAGCAGCCCAACCTGAACCACTCAGAATTCAGGCCTCTTTGGAAGAAAGAGATAAGGGCTAAAAGGACACAAGGTGGGTGCCCAGAGAGGGAGAGCCAGGATGGGAAGGGCCCTGCTTTGGGCATATGGGGCATCAAATGAACAGGAAAAGGAAATACAAAATTACGTGCAAATGAGCACTGGTGGAGTTCACTCCAATAGCCCAGTGTGCGTGTGCGTGTGCATGTGCGTGTGTGTGTGCACCAGACTCTGTGTGTGAGTGTGGTGCCGGGTGGCAGGACTGGGGATTGGGCACAGAGGCTGGGGTTTCCATAAGAAAAATCTGCTTCTTACTCAGCTGTTAAAGGTCTTCACTGAACCTTTGTGAGTATCTGAACAGCTGTAACTAGAAAGGACAAAAGAGGATTGGCGGGTACAGTGAAAAAGGCTGTCAGCTGTGTGACCTTAGACAAGTAACAGCCTCACGGGCCTCAATGTCTTGTTCTGTAAAATGGGCTTCTGAGGTTGCCATGGAGGTTAGGCTTGCTAATGCTTGTAATGGGTTAGACCTTCGCGGGAATGCAGCCCACCTTCAGGCTGTGGGAGAGACTTGCCACTTCCCTGTGGCTGATCAACCTTTCCTGGGCTTCCTCCAGGGTGAGGCGTTCCCTAAGGAGAGTCCCATAATTCCTCCCCAAGCTCCCACTCCTCTCTCCACCCCCAGACCTGGGAGGTGCCAACTCCCACCTGGGCAGGCCCAGACAGGTGCCCGGGCGCCAGCAGATGGGCTGAGCTGGAGGGGAAAGGAGTCCTTAGGAGGGGGGCGGGGGGCAGGGGATCAGGTGGCATCTCAGTTCTTGCATCATCATTGCCATGGTGCTGATTAAAAACCAATCTCCACCTAATGAGCCCCCAGCAACAACAATTCTGCCTCCCCCGCCCTCCTGCCCTCCAACCCATCCAGAAACTGGGAGAACGAGAGGCTCAGGAGGGAGTGCCATGGGGGAGATGAGAGCTGCAGAAAGAATGGGAGCTGGAGAGAGAGCCAGGGGAAGCACAGGGAAATGATGAGGGGAACACAGGGAGCCAGAGATCCAGGAGAGACTCTAAGAGGTGCAAAAACCAGAGCCATTGGGCAGCAGACACAAGGGGCCACAGACATGAAGTCGCAGTCAGAGGGAGACAGAGGCATAAGGGAGACAGAAAGGGAGGGTGGGGGAAATACGCAGAGATACAAGGTATGGAGGAAGACGGACTGGCTGGAGGTCTGAGAAGAGGAGGACACCATTAGGAGACAGAGTGGGCTGAATGCAGACGTGGAGAAAACAGCTCTTTGGTGATAGAGAGATGCTGACACGAGACAGAATCTGAGGGGGCCCCAAGACAGAAGGGAGACACAGACACATGGGAGAAGCAGAGGGAAGGCTGTTGTGGGGAAACAAAAACCATGGAAGACAGAGTCAAGGCGGGAGATGTGACAGAAGGACGAAGGTGAGGGACTGTTACTGAAATGGGGGGCCCAGGTCCTGAAGGGTAAGATGCAGAGGACAACATAAGCGGAACCTAGAGGGACTCTTGAAGCGGGAAGGAACCATAGGGGAGGCATGGGTGGAGAGGAGGGGACGGACTTAGACCCCTCTTGCCAGCCTCACTCGTTGTAGACTGTTATATTCAGATACTCCAGCCTGGCAGCCTTCATCCAGGAAAGGAGGAGCCTGAGCTGTCCCCAGTGCCGCTGAGGTTTGATGGTAGACTAGACGCGAGGGAACGAGAGCTCTGGGGAGCGTGTCTTTCTCCTCTGCATCTGTCAGCCCAGCATCCTGGACTCTGGGGCCCCCAGCTCCACACTGCCCACAGGGATTCAGCTTTCGCTCCTTAGGGGGAGTAGCTGAAATGAACATATTCGTGTGATAAAGAGGAGCTAAAATCACGGTATGGTGGAAAGGACTACTACATCTACTGAACTTGGAGTCAGTTAGACCTGGGGACCTTGGACAGGTCACTTAACGGGCTTTTACTTTGCTATCTGCGAAATGGAGATAGTGAGGCCTTCTCCAAGGCCTGTTGTAACATCCTGGTGAAATCATGCATGGGAAAGTGTTGGGGAAAATGCAAAGTGCTCATAGTGAGTCCCCCACATTTGAGCAGTGATGTAAAGGGGGCAAGGAGTGTCACCATCTGAGGCATTACGATGGAGGGGAGCCGGGGAGAACTCTGAGGTCAGCTTAGGTTGCCTGCAGACCCAGGCCCTAGTCGGGGCAGAGAGAACCCTGTAGGGGGGGGGGGGCCTTTGCTATAAGAGGGCAGGAGGAACAGGGCTTGAGGATGGGGAGGATGAATATGTCTCCATGATTTTACATTTTATAGGCATTCACTTTTTCAGATTGCAATTCAGAAGTCTCTATCCCCCACCAGCCAAGGAGGTAGATGGGTCGGGGAGGGAATTTGACGGGTAGGGAAGACACAGGGGCAGGGCCCAGTCCTTGAGGGTGTGGGAGGGCCCGGAGGAGCTGGGAAGCAGTGGGTTTGGCAGGAAGAGGGGGTGACATATGTGGGGAGCCCTGGGGACCCAACCAGGCAGGCGGCTGGCAGGGAGAGCAGACGGTGTTAACTCTCACTGTGCCACACTGCCTGACCCTTCCCGGGGAGTGGCCCAGCGGCCGGGGTGCTATTTTGTCAGAGACTGGCCGTGTTGGGGTCACAGAAGCATGGCAGGCAGGAGGCAATTGGACGGGAGATAATGATTTTGGAAAAGGGGCAGCACATCTTGGAGTATCTTCATCCTGAGTTTCTTTCCTGGTCTGCTTGCACGTGGCCGCTGTCTGTCTCTCTGCACTCCTAGAAGGTGACAGCGGGTCTTCACTCTGGCTAACTGCACAATCTGTCACTCTCTTTGCTGCCAGCCCGGGGTGAGAGGGAGCCCCCCTTCCCTGTGCCCTGGCCCCCTAGGCTTTCCGCCTTTGTCTCCTAAGGCCCGGCTCTCTCCTTCCTCCACACTCACCTCTCCTTAGGCAGAGCCCATCCCGATCTCATTAGGGTCCGCCCCACCCGCAGCCTCTTCTCCGCCCTCCCCCCTCCATCTGTCTTCCCCGAAGCTCTCCTCTTTGTGTCCACCCATCTGTCACCACCAGTGCTGGGCCTACTCCCCTCCTGGCCACGCCCGCCTGGCCTTCCTCCCCTCGGGCTCCGCTCCGTTCCTCTTCCTCCCCTCTCCCCTGCGCTGCTGCTCTCCACTCCCTTTCCTCCCTCAGCCTACTAGCAAGGCTGTTTTGCTCAGCTTCCTTTCACTGCCTAATTTTTCTGGATGTCCTCTCTCATCTCAGGGTTTTCTTTTTTCCTCCTGGTTTCTCTATCCCCTTTTCCAGTTGAAGTGGGGAAAAGAATCAAGACTCCAGGGTCCCAGCTCTAGCCCCTGAGCAGCCACCCAGCCCAAGCCTGGTAACATTCACCCACAGTTGCATCACCTCCAATGAATGGCTTCTCCTGGGCCTGAGATGACCTCCACTGCACTCCAGCTCCCCGTTTGGGCCCAAAGGCTACCCGTGCCCTTCTCCTCCACAGCAGGAGTGTGGAGCTCTTGGACCTTCTGAGTTTGAATTTAGGAAGGAAGAACAATCCATCCCAAAGCCCCTAGGACACCAACTTCCCAAGAGCCTCTTTTCCTCATGCTAAGCACTTTTGCTACTGTTTCTGTCTTCTCTTCTCCCCTTCCCTCCTTCCTCCCTTCTTCCTTTCCTTCCTTCCCCTTCCTGCATTTTTCTTTCTCTCTCTTCCCTTTTTATTTTGTGAGGATGGGTCACGGAGTGACAAGATCTCTTTTACATCATATTATCCCACAATATCCCAAATTCCTACTATCCCTGGGTTAGGAGACAATCCATAGTGCCCCTCAGGCTTCCCTCCCTAGAACAGACCCTCTGCTATCTTTGAGAGTTTATGAATTGATCAACCTTTCAAATGGCTCCTGGCCTGAGGAGCTTAGGGTGACAGGGTAGGGGGGCACAACTCCAGCTTTCCCTTCCCAGAACAAGACTGACAGCCAGGGTGGACCTTGGAGAACAGCCCCTTGTCTAAATTACACTTTACAGATGAGAACACAGGATGCCCCTCCCAAAGTCACACAGCATTAGTGGCAGACCAGAAAATCTGGTCCTGCGTTCTTCCCATGTCATGAGGTTCCTCCTTTCTGGCCAGTGCCGAAGGAAAACCCTCCATCCTCTGAAGTCAGGTAGAACCTGTTCAGTGCCCTCATCCTGCAAGGAGCATACACTCCCTCGCCTGGTTACTTATCTTGTCATGCCCTTTCCTGCCATGTGGACTGTGGATCTGAAGTGTGGAAGGGAAGGCACCACATCTCAGCCCTTTCAGATGCTGGGACAGAGTGCCTTGCACATAGCTGTGCTCAATAAATGTTTACTGCAGCTGTGGTTGCCTGGGTGGATGTGGATATAAGACATGTTCTAGTCCCAACTCTCTCTCATTTGCTGTGTGACCCTGGACAAAGCCACATTGCTCCTCCGGACTAGTTTTCTCATCTATCGAATGAGTTAGGCCATACAGGTAACTTCCAAGGTCTTACTGTAAGTTCCCTTGAAGAAATAAAAATCCTACTGAGTAAAGATCTCAATAAAGAACACCAGAATCTCAATTACACAAAAATAACAAAAAACCTCCCAGGATGTGCTTTTGGAAGCAGTGACTCAGATGTGGGGCAGTAGAAACAGTAACCCCTTTACTCAGAGGATGGGAAAGAGAGATCAGCTGCTAGAAACCCTCAGTGTAAGCCTTGAGGGAAGAGGTGAGGTTTCAGCAGGGAGAGGCCAGCTGGGGTGGGGGTTAGGAGAAAGAGAAGGGGTACAGTGCACTAGCAATGGGCGAGAGTGCAGCGGCAGGGAAGGGGAAAGAGCTGGAAAATGATTCCTTTCAGAAGGTACAAGGTGAACAAGGCCTAGATGCAGAGGAGGGAAGCTAAGGGGTCAAAAAGGATGTGACCCTTAACACGCTGTCAGCCAGTCGTATATGGTCTTTAGGGCACAAGGGACACCTGGTGAGGCACCAGCACCGCGGTCAAGGAGAGGGAGGGTGTTTGCAGGTTCTAGTGGTCATCTGAGTGGCTGCACGCCTCCCAGGGTGCCTGGCCTGAGACCATGGAAAGGACCCATGGGGTGGGGGGCTGAGGGGTCAGGGAGCACGGAAGGCAGAAGACAAGCTTGTGTTCAGGATTTTCCCTAACTTAGGCAGAGGCGGCCGAGATATCGAGGGCCCTCGTCTTGTACATTTCTCACCCACCCTGCTCTCGATTCTGCCCAAGCCTCTGCTTTCCTGTTCAGCCCCCTCCCTGGTACCCAGCCACGTCCTCACTTTCGGAAGCTGCCAGCAGGATGAGGGAGTTTACTGCTCTGCCCGCTGGGAGACCTGTTGGCCGAGGGAGGCATGGAGCCGGCCCAGACGACAGTGGCAGCTGTGCTCGGCTCCCGCCAGCACAGCACACAGCTTCTCCAGCTCCAACTGGGGGCTGGGGCGGGGGAGCAGCAGGGTGTATTTCCTATCTCAGAACCCCAAACGTGCCCCCTTGAGGGAACTTGGAGAGAAACCTGGAGAAAAATTATCCCCTCACAACAGGATTCGGAAAGGTAAACAGCCCAAACAGAGAACTAAGAGGAACGCTGGGGATGCGTGCACAGGGCCAGCTTTCCATTGCGACTGGCCTTCAGGCATGCGTCACAGCAGCTTCTCAGCCAGCAGCGAGCAGGCCTCGGCCTCCACCCTGCCACTTCCCGTCCCCCTTTGGCTGACTCAGCCACTGCCCACGATCACTTAGCAGTTCTGTAATACTCCAGAATTCTGCCTCCACGAAGACTCATGAAATTACAGGCTTTTCAGAGCCGTAATTACGCTGAAATGCTTCTGAACCACTCTGCTTTTGGTCTACACAAAGTCCACCACCTACAAAAGGTCCAAACTTCTTAGCAAGCCACCCAAGACCCTTCACGTCTGGCCCCAGCCTCACCTCCTGCAGATCCTCCTGGCTTGGGCGCACAAACAGCACCATTTCCCAAGCGTGACTCTTGCCTTTGCAGGACTGTGCTGCCACACCTGGCGAACTCTTTGAAGTCCCAACTCAGCTATCACCCACTGCTCTGAGTCCCACTGCATGCTACTGCACAGAGACATAGAACGGCAACATATCCAGGGAGCATTCTGGATGTACTGCAGCCTCTTCCCTCACCCTAACAGTGAGACAGTCGAGGGTAAGGGTTGTATTCACTTTCTCTGTACCTAGCCAAAGGCACAGAGTGAATAAACAAGTATCTGTCCATTACAAAAGTGAGAAGAAACTAGGCTTGGATTGTTCTTCCAAGAGGGATTCCAGCGCTCCAGGGTTCAGTCAAGAGCCTTCTTTCAATGGACTTCAAGGCACTCGATGGGGGTTTCTTCCTTGGGTCGTCTGAGACCACGAAGACAGCCAGGAGGGGAATCGCTTCACTGACTTCTGGTCTCGCCAGCACAGCACTTGAGGACTGGTGAAGAGTAACAGGTAACAGAACGAAGCGTGTGGGATAATCTATTTTAATGAAACTCGCTATTTATATATTTACAAAAAAGGGGGAAAAAAAACAACAAAAATAGATATTACAGCTTAATAAAAAGTACACCTGGGCACCGTGGGCTGGAGGTGGGATACCCACCCGGCAGCGCGCCCACCCTAACGTGCCATCTGAGGACCAGGAGAATGGACGGTGGAAAGCAAACAGCAGGTTCGGCCCAGAGAACCTCATCCTCCGCTTCAGAGGTTCACCGTGGCAGAATCCTGATGTTCAAACCTCCACCTCCTTCCTCCTGGCCTGTAAAGTGGTTGGGTACAGGGGTGGGGTGGGGCAAGAGGGGACATAGAGGGGAGCACGGGGTGGGATGGAAAGAGAAGAGGCAACCTGAGGAAGGACACGTAGGAGTGGGGACCTCGGAGTTAAAACAGGAGCAGGAAGCTTCTATTATGATCCCAGAATCTTGCAGGGATGGGAAAAAGGAGGAAACAGAGAAAGGGGAGCTGATGGGAGCAGAGGGGCTTATCTCTCCCTGTCTCTTCTGGGTAGTTCCACTCCTTTATATTAATTCCAGTCTGAGACAGGCCCGAGATGATCCAGTGACAAACTAGTGGTTTGTTCCCAGTGGGACAAATGATCTTGGAAGTGACGTGCCGAGCTGGTGGGGAAAGCTGGGGTCCTCTTCAGTAAGACACAGCTCCCGGCTCTCGGGGAGCAATGAAAAGGACATCAGCTTTGGCATTGATGCAGTAGGTGACGACGAGAGAGAAGACGAGGATGCCGAAGCCCACCATCAGGGTGATAAGCTGCAAGGGGAGAAGGGTGTGGACAGGGAAGAGAAAGCTGTCCTCAGAACTCAGTGCAGTTTTGGTTAACTGGGACAGGGACACAGGGACACTGGAATTTGGCGTTGGCTTTGGTACCACACATGGAACAGTCAGGGGCAACATCTTCCTAATCTATAGACTTAATGCTCCTCATTTGAAAAGCGAAGTCTCTCTGTTCTTCCTTCTCGCATTAGATTTTAAGCATCCTGAAGGGAGGACCCACAGCTTTAAGTCCCTCATGGCAGTTACATCACTAACTCACGACAGGGGCTCCACTGACTCACCCCGCTGTCTAACTAGGGAACACAGACGGGACAGGAGCCACGGAAGCACTTCTGGGATCCATGGGCTTCTCCAGAAATACACACAGTCTAACTAGCAGTGAAGAGAAGCCTCCCAGTGGGACACACAGGGAGACCGGGATGAACTGGCAGTAGATTTTGCACTGCAAATCGAGGGCAAAAGGCAGATGGAAGGGGCCTGAGACAACAGCAAGAAGTCAACTAGATCGCTATCACCTCCCTCTTGCCAGCCTCACCTCAAGCTCTTTGCTGGCAATCAGGAATATCCGAGCCCGGATGTCTTTCCAGCGGCTCTCAGTCCACGTAGAGTACTCGGTGGAGCCCCACTGACTCAGTTCAAAGGCAGGTGACAAGGCCCTGGCCAGTCGTGCTGTGGAACGCACGCACCGGGGGAGCCGGTCCGTCTCGTTGGAATTCAGAGGGCCCTGAACCCATGAGTACTCATACAGCTGCACAGGGAGATGGGCCACAACACAGGGCTGACATGATCCAGTTCTCAGCTGCTCCCCTCACCCCTATCAGCATCACACTCGAACCAACTGAGCTAACCGGCTATTGTCCCTTTACCCCTTAGGTGGTTCGATTTCACCCAGGCTACTCAAGTTCACAGGACTGCATCCCTCCACCTCTCCATCCCAATCCCTGGGTCCGCCTGGGTCTAGAAGACCCTCCAACTTTCCCAAGGGAAACAGGGCCCCGTGGTACCTCCGACACCCACCACCACTCACATCCTTGCTTTCATTTGGAACTTTACTTGGATCCTGGCACTGCTCTCGAGTGAGGCTGATCACTTTCCCAGTCAAATTTGCCAAGGCATACTGCACAATGTAAGTGGTGTTGGTGGGACTGGAGACGGCGATGTAATGCTGGAGAGGCCCGTCTCCTGAGTGCAGGCCAAAGGGAAGGGAGGATTTGGTGGGGGCAAGGTAATTGAGGGTCAGGTAGAAATGAGAAGAGCCCCAGATTGGCAGGAGCCATGGAAGACAAGGTTATAAGAAAAGGATCCAACAAACATCAGAAGAAAGGAAAATAGGAGGGAAAGAAAACAGAAGAGAAAAAAAAGAATAAAGATTAAACCAAAATGAGGCCTTTCTCTCTACCTTACCTTGGCTAAGGGTCACCCTTGTCACACCATGTGCTTACCCAAATAGGACCTTAGGTCCTGTCTAAGGATGGACTGGAACCACGAGTTGTTGGCTTGAACCAGGAACCCATAGAGCAGGCGGGTGACCTGTGATTACAACAGCAGAAAGAAAACCTTGGGGCTTGAAGCGATTCCAGTGAGAAGAATTAGTGGAGATCAGTCACAGGGAATGAACCAGACAGGCTGGGAATCAGTGGCAGCTCACAAGGGTGCAGATGAGGCCCACGCAAGAGCATCCACAGGCACGCTGAGTCCCAGAGTCTAGGAGGCTGGGCAAGGAGTAAAGGATGGGGCAGCCTGCTGCGTCATCAGAGACAGAAGCGGGGCCATCTGCACTTACCGTCTGGGGATCGGCCTCAACTGTGTTGGTAAAGTTGGTTCCTCCTGCAAGTGCGTATAGTGCACGTCCCAACACCGTGGCTATGTTCGCCAGGGCCTGCGGCAGATGAGGGAGAGGATGAGCGATGCACCTCTCCTAGCCTCAGGCAACAGCATTCCAACCACAGTCACTGTGTTGCCCGTGTGCCCACCCAGCCTAGGTCAGTGCTACCTTGGCAGTGTCTGTCACAAAGTTCAGGTCCTCTTCAGGGCTCAGCCACTCAGGATAGCTCACATTAATGTTCTCGGCAGTGTCGTAAATGCTCTGGTAATAGCTGCCAGGAAAGCCAGCATGAGCCTTGGCTACATTCAGCCAGGAACTTGCCCCTTTCCTACTTAAATGCCCCTTATGCAGGACCTTGATATCTTATTTTTCATCATCCAGGGGAAAAGAGAGAGAAAATTAGGATCCATTGTCAAAGAAGGCATGGAGAATGTGGAAGCAGAGGTGATGGTGGGGCTAACGAAATGCAGAGACTTTCCCGATGGATGAGGTAGAAAAGGTAAACAAGCTGAGAGCTTTAAGCAAAGAGATTCTTCCAATATTGTTTGGGCTGGAGGTACAAGAGGAGGATTCAGAGAATTGTCAGAGAACTCTGCCACACATCATCAGAACTTGTATGACTGTTTCCATGAACAGAGGGTGGCTGGGAGCAGGAGGGATTAGCAGGTATTAGGATCAGATATGCTCACAGATTTGTACAAATACATTCAATCAAATCACTATGATAAGCCTCAGGGAGCTCCAAAGAAGATTTTAGAAGAGGGGCTGAGGGAGCTCCCAGTCTCTGCCATTAAGAAATTCCCACCCCGCCTACAGTCAAATCAGCCACACACTCCAGTCCCAATGAGTTCAAACGAGGAGCCATCACTCACCCCAAAGCTGGTGCTGAGAAATGATAAGCAGAAGACAGCGGGCCCTAATGCTAGAACTGTTACTCTCCTAAACGGATGAGAAGGGGCTACTTGGCTAGAGTCGAAGAGCCAGAGCTTAAGCACTTTTACTCAGAAACTCCTTTGGCCCCAGGGAGGCTGGTAACATCCGGCCTGTGTGACAAGTCTCACCATCCCAGGCACCCCGTTTGGAGCAGCCTAAGGGTATCAGATTAGGAAAGATGTATCTATGTCTCACTTCTGCTTCCCGCAGCCCCCTCAGTACACTAGCTATAAGCACCTACCACATGGCAAGAACACGCTGCAGTTCATGGAGCACCAGGACTGACTGCAGCACCCTTGGGCAGGCCCAAGGGGAGGGGGCTCTGTCCTCCAGCCAAAGAACCCCCACTTTCCTATGCTGTTTGAGACACTGCCCTCTGCTGGCAGCCCTGAGGAGCTCAGGGCAAGCTCAGGGCCCAGGAGGAACTAAGAGCAGCGGACCGTAGCGGAGGATGACCGAGGGCTGAGGGGTGAGATGGTTTTCTAAGATGCACATCAAGTCAGTGAGGGGCCCAGGGCAGGTGTGAACAGACCACTGAGCAAAACCCACAAACTGCCTGGAGGGTTTGGAGGAGACGGTGTGAGGACAGCAGAAGTGGCAGCCTTTCTCCGAGACTGCAGTGCAGACTCCCTTTGACAAGGAGAAGGGTGCAGGTCCCGGGGATTCTTACGGGTTATGGAAGGAATCGTTATAGTCAGCCAGAACCACACCAGAGATGTTTCGAGCTCGAAGAAAGCGCTGCAGAGAAGATGGCGGGAGGGCATGGGACGAATCAATCCTTCTGAGGATGACATCAGGGACACCAGCACCAATCTTCTCCAGGGTGGCCAGGAGGTCCTGCACCTGCATGGGCGAGGGAGACCGAGTGATGAGAGATGGGGAACAGGAAGCAGGAGGTCTCTCTCTGGCATGAACTGCTCTACACTTCAGGTCCCCTGCCTGGGAGCTCCCTTATGTTCTCCAAGATCTGTACTGTGCAAACTTCTCAGGACTAAGGGCAGTTCTCTGTAGCTCCCACCGTTCTTTTTACAGTTAGGAAATTCGGCACAAAGAAGAGGCCTGCATTCTTTCACATTGATAGGGAAACTCTCTATCCTCTCTGTCTCATCTACAGTGGATTGTTTTACTTTGTGTTTGTTGTACAGATTTGGAGGGGACACATAGTGAAAACTAAATGCTGCAAGCCAACTAGGTAACCAGTTCTCTAAGTGCTACAGAAGTCCAGAGCAGGGAGGACAAAAAGGCTAGAGTGGTAGGAAAAGGAATGCATGGAAAAACTTAGGCCTAAAGGTGAATCTGTAGGGAGGGCGGGCCTTGAGCCGGCAGCAGGAAAGCGGAGGATATGCTAGGGATGTGGTGCAGGCCTGTGATCCCAGCATTCAGGAGGCTGAGGCAGGAGCATCATGAGTTTAAGGCCAGCCTAGGCAACTGAATGAGACCGCCATCTCAAAAAACAGCATTGTGGACACAGCTCAGTTGGAGATCTGGGTTCAGTTTAATCAGAAAGAAAGGAAGGAAGGAAGGAAGGAAAAAAAAGAAAAGAAAAGAAAAGAAAAAGAAAGAGACAGAGAGGGAGGGAGGAAGGAAGGGGGAATGGAAGGGAAGGGAGAGAGGGAGCAAGAGAGAGAGAGAAAGAAAGAAAGAAAGAAAGAAAGAAAGAAAGAAAGAAAGAAGAGAAAGGCAAGCAAGCAGGCAGAGAGGGAGGGAAGGAAGGAAGGAAGGAAGGAAGGAAGGAAGGAAGGAAGGAAGGAAGGAAGGAGAGAAAAGAAAAGTGGAAGACAATTTGGGCTTGGAGCCTCATATAGGCCAGACTTGGCAGGGCAACAAGAAGAGGGAGCTAGTCTCTTGCCTGTCCTTAATGGGCAGTGGTCGTTTGATAAGCATCAAATGACCAGAGAACACCCCAATACAGGAAACCAGTAGGATGTCAATGAGCTCACAGTTCCTCCCAGCAAACAGTAATGGCTGGGATAGTCATCCTATAACCAATACCCAATCAAATCCTTTCTTTTATCCTGTCTCACAGGCCCTGGGGGTTGGTGGGAGCAAGGCAGGGGTTGGCTGTGAGGTCTGTATTCTCAACTACTGGGTTACCTGGTTCTGCACAGAATCGTTTTTCTGAGACATGGGATCTGTGTGCATCCAGAGCTCTAGAGATGTTCTTAAGGCCACCTAGAGGAAGGATGAAGCAGTGACATTTTGAGTCAGTCTCCTGTTCCAGCCCAAACCTGAGGGAAAGGAGTCAGGAAAAGAGCAGGGTGGTGCCTGTAGCAAGGACAACAAACGGAAGAAGAAGCTCTAAGTAGGAAGCACACAAGCCGCACCTGTCCCAGCTCCACAAATGAATCGATGTTTTCTAACCGCACAGGAAACTTGCCCTTCTCCATATCGTAGACCATTCTTGAGCTGCCAATGTAGTCAAAGGTTTCCTGAGGAGGGCAGAGATGGGTGGGAAAAGCAACAGAAGTTCCCAAGGGTTAGGGTAGCCTCATGGAAGGTTAAGCCATCAAAACCAGAGGCAGGAAGTCTAGCACCTGGGGCCTTTACAGCTGCTAGTCAGAGTCAGCTTACATGGCACGTGACTTCCTCTCCTCCTCCCCAACCTCCCAGCTGTGACCATCCTCACAGGTACACATCACAGGACTTCTCTAGCCCAGAAGTGGGAAAAGTAGCCTTTGTAAAGGCCCAAAGGGAACATGGACTATTATGTGTCTGCTATTCTTCAGGCTAGAGACAGGCTGGGGTGCTAGTAGAGAAAGGTAGCATCTTTTATAGAGCAGAAAGAGATACAGACAATAAGAGCAAAAGGAGGTCTCAAATAGATCTGATGGGTAGGGGAGCGAGGAGGTTGGTAACACACCAATTCAGGGCATAGAAGCTTCCTAAAATAAACCTCCAAAGGAAACACATACAGACACATTCAAAAGCTCTGCACTGATTAACAAGTTCAGTGCTAGGGTTGTCCCAACCAAGAGCCACCTCCAGCTTCACCATCCCCTGGCCCTGCTGCCCAACCCCCAAGAAAAGAGCCCTTACCCCTTGGAAGAAGACAAACATGACGTTTCGGGGCAGGGCAGTCACATCGGGTGCCTTTTGCAAGGCTTCGGCTGCAGCCAGCTGGGTGACAAAGGAGGCAACGGCACTTTCAGCCCCGGGGGCCACATTCCAGAAGAAGGAATGACTGTCCAGCTGAGTAAAACAGAAGAAAAGGTAGGGGACATACACATTAGAACTGGAAATTAGGACCGAGCCCAAGCCCCCTTTCCTGTTCCAGCCAAGAGAATATACATGTGCTGGGGTGATGGACAGAACCCAGCCTCACACCGCCCAGATCCCTCTCCACTTGAGACTCCCTAGTGTAGCAACTCTGAAATCAGATATGCCAAGAGAGGTCTGCCAGCTCTTTCTGAGCCAGCTATGCCCCTGCTGATCAGGAGCCAACACTTACCCGGGTAGCAGCAACCACTACCCTATCCGCAGGCTCCAATGTCCCAGATGTGTTTATAGGCTTCAGCATGCTCCATACATTGTAGTCAGACAGGGGGTCACAAACGATTTCTGAGCAGGACACAAACAATGAGAGGTGAATAGGACTAAGGGAGAGGACAGCTTTAAGGCGGGGCTGTGCAACCTTTCCGACCAGGGCTCCATGGACTCTATGGGTCATTTTCTCTACTTTAAAGGTTCTAGGTTGGTTTCTCTGCTGTAGGTACAAGCTGCCTACACTTGTAGGTATAAGCTGCCTATACTGTGCAAAACTGTTGCTGCTTCTCCCATTCAGTGCTTACTGCCCATGCCCACCATGCCCACCTGCACCATGGGCTTGCCATATTCCCTGACTGGACCTTGTCTGACTCCCATCACAGGACACTCAGTATGGGGCGGATCTGTCCTACCTGGGTTGATGCTGAAGGTGCTCTGGATGAAGCTGCGCCGCATGCAGGTGACAGTACTGATCACGGCGTGCATGTGCGAGAAGAGCTGCATGGCACACAGCGGGAAGGCTGGTGCCGAGCCATTCTGACTCAGGTTGTGATCTTGATAGCACTGGAAGGGGAGAGGGACCCCCCTGAGAGAGACGCCGTGGAGTCCCTCCCTTACTTCCCAGGAAGAGGAAGGCCCAGCTCCATCCTCAAACATTTGTCCCTGAGCTACAGGTGTCCTGGGATAACCACAGGATCTACAAGGTCAAACAGAAAAACTCCTCAATAGGTGGAAAGGGGCATAGGCTCGTGGCTTACTTGGAACAGATGAACTTATCCCATCCCAAATGGCTTGGCCCAATCTGGAGCTTCAGCCACTGTCCTTAATGTGATTTGACATAAGAAGCACTGATCTAGAGATCAAAAATAAGATTCAAGACAGCTTGGCCATCAACTCATCTTGCAACTTTGGATAAATCTCTTTTTTGGGGGGTACCAGGAACAGAACTTAGGACCTCGCGCTTGCCAGGCAGGCACTAGGCCACTGAGCTATATCCCCGACCCTGGATAAATCTCTTAACTGTTCTTTGTGTCAAAATAAAGAAGCTTGACTAGAATTAAGAGCACATTAGGGCTAAAAAGAACCTCAGAATTCACTGAACTAAACTGAATCTCATAACTACTAGTCCAATGAATGCTCTTTTGTTGCTATTTGTGGCTTTTTGAGATAGGGTGTCACTGTATTGCCCAGGCTGGCTTTAAAATCATGATCCTCCTGCCTCAGCCTCTGTCGGCTGGAATTACAGGACCATTCTCAGCTTGTTATCTCAACCAGGGTTGAACTTCTTGTTTCATATTACTATGTCAAATATCCTTTTCATTTTCATCTAGTTTAAAAGCCTTCAATGCTGTGACATCAGGCAGGAAAGAAGTAGAAGAGGGAAATGTGAGGAAAATGAACTTTTCGGTTCTTTCTTGGAGTAACTGTTTTTCAAAGTGTGCACTAGCAGAATGAGCCTTCCTCCAAACAGAAGGAGAGCCCGAAAAATAATTCTCTTCCTCACTGGAATTGCTACAAGGTGGTAGAGTCATTACCTGCTTAATGACCTTGGTTTCATTTTCATCTTCAAGAAGAAAGATGGGGAAACTAAAGTCTTCATAAGCCAAGCCACTGCCCAGAGGATTCCATGGCTTTTCTTTGCAGTGGGCAAACTCCGACCCATAGGAGTTGGAGTAAACACCTGCAGGAAGGAAGGGGGGTTGGGCGGCTAGGTTATGGAGATACCAAACACTTAGGAATTTGGTGAGGGAGGAAGGCTAGGATATCGTAAGAGTTCAAAAAGGGGCAGTGACCCAAAGATGAGGCAGGAATCTAACATACAGCATTAAGGGACGCTACACTGACAGATCAGGGCTCTGAGCATGTGACATGAAGGGATGATGGAAGGTAAGCAGAAGAGGAGCAAGGTGGGGGGGATGAGTGGCAAAGGCAAACGTTATCTTCTGCCTGGGAGTCAGCTGCTTATAACACATACAGATACAGACACAGACAGACACGTACATCCCTCACACAGACTTGAGACGGAGGCAACAGTGAGGCTTTCTTTTGGGAATCTTACCAAACCCGTCATTTGGGCACTGCACGCTAGGAGAGAAGCCAGGGGTGGGACTGGGCTTGGCCAAGGTCACTGCGAGACCAGCAATCCGACTGTTTTTCCCCTTCAGCCTCTCCATTATATGCCTGGAATAGACAGGGAATGTTAAGAGACAGGAAGCCATCAGGTAGCCAGAACTCTGCTCTTCAGTATGGAAATGAATAAGAACCAAGGGAACCAGAACTGTCACTTCTCTTTTCACTCTCTTATTTCTGAATCCAGACTGTGGTCCAATCTGAGTTCAGGGTTAATTTCAGCTACCCTGTTCCCTAGAGACCTTTGGCATAGTTCCTTCCTCCCTAAGGTCCTTGAGCTGTAGTTTTTTTGTTGTTGTTGTTTTTGTTTTTTTGTTTTTTTGAGACAGGGTCTCTATTAAGTTGTCCAGGTTGGCCCTGAATTTGTGATCCTTCCGCCTCAGCCTCCTGAGTGGCTGAGATTACAAATGTGCAGCACTGCCTGAACTGAACTCTATCTTAAGGTCAACAAGATTATTCCCTTTGATGGTACTTCTCCTTTTTGAAGACCTACTCTGTACTCTCCCGACTAGACCAAGGCAGCCTCACAAGTATGAAGACTGCTCACCAAATCTTTCCTTCTCTGGATACACTTTCCCGGCAGGCACATCCAGTTCTTACCTGGTAAACAGCTTGCCTTCCAGCAGAACCATGTATGGGGGGTTGGGGCCGTCTGTCAACACCCATTGCAGGTCCTCTTCTTTCTCCACTACATGGATAACCCCTGTGTCCCCACTAATTGAAGCTGCAAGGACAGAATGGGTAGAATTAAAACTCCCACAATTGACAACTTTGACTGCCTGACTCATCCTGCAGATCTTTCATCCCTAAAGATGCCACAATATATTTGGGTGACCACAGCCACCTCTGGTCCTGAACTGAAAAGGTGAATTGCCCTAGTTCCATATGAAGGAAGGAATGGAGGACGAAAGAGGCCAAGAAGACTCATCAGTAGCCTTGTTCACTAAATGCCTGAAAGGCTATGTGACCTTCATGTTTTTCCCCCATTCAGTCATTTACCCATAACACAAGGTTCTAGAGTAGAATCAAGTTTTCAAATCTGTATTTTCTCTAGGAAATGCCAGACTCTAGATTTATAGCTTAGACTTCTGGCTTTAAATCTTTCTGAAAACATGTTGATTCCCTTGGCCCCAGTAGCCTTCCTAGATCACTATTCCTGTGCTAGTCCTATTTAGGAATGACTTTAGTTGTTCCTGGCTAGTTTTAGGTGACAGTAATCTGGAACTCTGAGGTCTGAAGAACAGAGATCCTCACTGATAGGCCTTCAGTGGATCTGAGATGTAATGATAGATTGTCCTACTTCCTGGGGAGCTCAAGTTTCCAAAGTCCCTAGGCTGGACACGAGCAGCCAGGAACAGATATCATTTACTCCAGGATGCCCTACAAATAAAATCCATTTCTATACATGCAAGATGCCACACAAATAATCTCCCTCCCTCCCTCCCTCTCCCTCTGTCCCT